AGATGTTTTGCAGAGTAACTACCAACTTCTTCCCTTCTTCAAGTTCAGTGGCCTTAAGAGAGACAGAAAAAGATGCAAGGTAATTAATTAAATCATTATATAGCTTGTCCTTTTGTGTTCGCTCCTGCTGAATTGGATGCAACACTGAAGACAAAAGATGTGAAGCATTTGCATCTATTTCAATAACTTCATTTGCAACTGAAGATGTACCATTGCCACTAGATACAGAATATCTTAAATATAGCCCAAATGATGATATGACTGGAAGAATTGGCAAATTGATGTCCACATTATCTAAAATGGACTTATCTCTCCCAATTTGAGCTCCTTCTAAGCAATATGAATCGTCAGATAGTCTTGTTATAACAGTATTGAGAAAAAAATCTTTAATTGAGTAATTAATCTCTCCCACTTGTAAAATAGTCCAAGGAAGGAGAGTTTTGATGGGATGAAGAAGATTCACATTAACATTTACTAAATGTACAGATGACATAGCTGACTCAAACAAAGGAATAGTTAAAGTTAAATCAGCAGATGAAGTATACAAACCAACAGGTGAGTTATAGTAATGAGTAGGTGAATTATACAAATACGAATGAGAAGGCGAATGAGTAGGTGAATTATACGAATATGAATGAGTAGGTGAATTATACGAATACGAATGAGAAGGCAAATGAGTAGGTGAATTATACAAATACGAATGAGTAGGTGAATTATACGAATACGAATGAGAAGGCGAATGAGTAGGTGAATTATACAAATACGAATGAGAAGGTGAATGAGTAGGTGAATTATACAAATACGAATGAGTAGGTGAATTATACGAATACAAATGAGAAGGTGAATGAGTAGGTGAATTATACAAACACGAATGAGAAGGCAAATGAGTAGGTGAATTATACAAATACGAATGAGAAGGCAAATGAGTAGGTGAATTATACGAACACGAATGAGAGGCGAATGAGTAGGTGAATTATACGAATACGAAAGAGTAGGTGAATGAGTAGGTGGATTATGCAAATACAAATGAGTAGGTGAATTATACGAATACGAATGAGAAGGCGAATGAGTAGATGAATTATACAAATACAAATGAGAAGGCGAATGAGTAGGTGAATTATACGAATACGAAAGAGAAGGTGAATGAGTAGGTGAATTATACAAATACGAATGAGAAGGCGAATGAGTAGGTGAATTATACAAATACGAATGAGTAGGTGAATTATACAAATACAAAAGAGTAGAAGAATGAGTAGGTGAATTATACAAATACGAATGAGTAGGAGAATTATACAAGTACAAAAGAGTAGAAGAATGAGACAGTGTAGACCAAGGTGTAGACTCACCTGTTAAAATTGCTGCCAACAGCAATCAATGCAGGTATGAATATTTTATGGCATTACCAAGTTGATAATAGAACTTTAGGAAAGTAGTTTTGGAGTTACAGTCAGCCTCCGATGATCTTGCGGCGTTGGGTGAGTCATCAGACCATCCGGTAGTCATAAGTAGCAGCAGTGATGAAGAAGAAGACGTTAAAGAGAAGGATGAGTATATTTATATTTTTGAAAGTGATGAAGAACCTGAAAGTGATGAAGAATGTTATTTCCAGAAGTATGTATGTATATAATGACATTAAAAATTAATTTAAGGCGTGGTTTAAAACTGATAGACGTGGTACCGTTACATTGTTACTTTGCTATTTGTAGAACAAAAAAGGTGAAACGAGAAATTTGCTCTGATAATGAAGATGAGACACCTCTCTTCACAAAGTAAGAACATTTTATATGATTAATCACTTTATTCATGTGTCCAGAGCTGGGTCTCCAATATATGAGACTCCACTTTCTACGTACAAATGTGAGGAGATTATTGAGATTCTTCTTAATAAGAATATTGATGAAAAGAAAGTGTGCCATGAAAGACCAAGGCACATAGAAGAATCTGCCACTTTTGTCATTAATCTTGATTCTCTCAGGCATCCTGATGATGTTAAGAAGGATGACTTTGGAAAATGGAAATACAGTGGTTCTCACCTCCAATCTTTTTTGTTTTCGGAAACAGAGAATGGTGACATTGAGGTGAAAAAAATAGATGATACTGATAGTTGTTCGTCACTTGAAAATGTAATACAGTTACGTCGTATACATTGTAAGCATCCTTCAAACTCACAATTTCAGAAACTTATGGCATTTGTGTCAGGTAAGTGGCATGTCCAGCTATTGCAATGGGACTTCCGGTCGCATTAATTTAATGATATTCATTGGAATTACCATAGCAACGGCAGCTCAGCAATGGTGGATTGATAGGAAGCTTCACTACAAAGCCTGCTAACGTCTTTCTGGTTCATGGATGGGACTTCACTAGATACTTGGAGCTTCTTGAATGCTACTTAATGCAATTGGTTATGGTAGTTTTTTCATATTCTATTGTTAAAGTGGCAGGCGTGGCGCAAGAAGACTCATCCACTAACAAAAGGCCTTCTTGTTATTACTTTAAAAGGATCTAGAGACATGATTTGCTTGTATAGCTGTTAAGCACTCTTAGTTTTACTTTATTATTCCCGTGAGAAGAGAAAAGCACTTGTTCACTCTTGTTGCTGCACCCGTTATCACTGAGACGACTAAAATTATTTCACCTTTAGAAGACTAAAGTACCGAACAAAGTTTTGAATTTCTTTATCTTTTTTGCATGATTGGGCAGTAAAAATGTTGTACTTTCACAAAATAAGTGCGCAATTTGTCAAAAATTGTTTGAAATTTAGATATAGAGTATATGCGTG